ATACGTATTATCCCAATACATGTTAGTAGACATGTCGTTAATATTGCAAGGGATTCTTTAGTGGTAGAATCATGAAAGTTTACCTTTTCATTGACCAGAACCAGAGGCACCCAAGGAAGAACCTGAGGTAGTGCCAGAAGTTGAAGAGAAAGAAAATGAGCCAGCAGCTGCCAACACAGGTAATATTGATGGCTTAGTTTTGATAAATGAATTGAATTCTGTTTGCTATTCACAAAATATTATGATCATGTGCTTTAATTACATCCTTCGGCTGTTGATAGTTCTAAAGTCATAATTTAGTTCATGGTGCCTTCTGTAATATCTTTGCATTATTTTGCTGTGTCTATATTAAGTGATCCTTATACTTGTGTAATATCTTTGGAAATTCTTGTCTTCAAATAGAAAGTTTGATTGCTCTTTTTAAAGATGAGATGGATATTTCTGCAATTTATATGTAATATGCCATTATATTAATCATGATTAAATAATCCTCAAACATGGTAGAAAAATATTTGAAGTTGTAAAGTTCATTTAGAAATTTGATAAGGACCCACATGTATTTAATTTCCCAATTAACATATTTTCAGTCATTCATCATGGAAACAGAAGTTTAAAGGAGTGGCCACTAATGAGTACCCATTATTTCATTTATTAGCAACCTTAAAACTAATTAATTAGATTCAAGTTTATTTCCACTACACATTGGAAAAAATGTTTTATGAATACATCACAGTAAAAGTGGGAGAAAATTTCATTCAGAAAAGGAAGTTCTTTGTGTTCTGTAAGATTTCTTTGATTTTCTTAATATTCATATTCATTCTTTGCCCAGTTAAAATGGGATGTGATTCTGCTGTTTCTACTTGACCAGCCAACTGTGCCATGAGTTGGATTATATGAAAGTATGTAATGGTTTGTACCTTGCACCCAACATATGCCTTGGCACTGATTTAACAGAATAAATCATTGTTTTTCAGATGAAGTACCACAAGAGAATGGGCAGAATGGTGTAGAAAAGGAGGAGGAACCAGCAGAGGAGGAGGAGGCTGCAGCACCAGAGGAAGAACCTGCTGCAGAGGAGGCTCCAAAAGAGGAGGAAGCAGCCCCTGCAGAAGAGGAGGAAGCACCTGCCAAAGAGGAAGAAGCCCCTGTAGAAGAGGAGAAGAAGGAGGAAGAAGAGGCACCAAAAGAAGAGGAAACGAAAGAAGGTGGGGATCATGGAAAGCACTAGTATATGTGATTCCATTTTTCAGATTACATAAAAATGTATATAATAAATCTCAAAGTCACAATTATCATTTAGAATATTCTTTAGTGAAACAGTATTTCTCTTGAGCTTTCACCTTAAATATAATGAGTCAGTAAGAAAGTGGTAAAAGAAAGACATAAACTTAAATTTGAAAATAGATTATTGAAGCTGATAATTGGAACAAAAAAAAAGAGAAAAAAGTGGCATTAAAATAGTGGCATTGTATTGTTTAGTTAATAGTATTTCTTTCTGTTGTAGAAGAGAAGGAAGAAGCTCCTGCTCCACCTCCAACCAAAGGACGTGGCCGCAAACCAAGGAAAGTTGCTGTAGAACACTGGTAAGTTCCATAAATGAAATAGAAACTCTAACTTGTGTGCATACTAAAAGTTCTGTGTGATTTTCATTCCATTATATTTAAAGATATATATATTCTTTAAGGGAAAACTGTAGATCTGAAATGTTAATGTGAAGGGGTATATATATATTCTCTATAAATATATAGGAGTTTTTGGGATCACATTTAGGCAACTGAATTATTCAAGTGACATCAATTGAAACAGTGTTAACCCAATGCCAAAGGGCATGGCATATTTGTAGATGCCATACCCAGTGAGTTTACTTGTTTAATTGTTTTTAAACATAGATAGCTGCACTTGTACTATGTCATCAATGAGCCAATTACGAGTACTGCCTGTCTCGCCCATTTACTCTATTCCTTGATTCACAAAAATATTTTATTTTATCTGATTTTGCTGTTATTAATGTTTATAACAATAAAGTAATTATAATGTTTATAATAAAAATACACCATCAATGTTCGTAGCACTCATAAAAAATAAGTTTTTCCCGCCAATTCAAGGAAAGGTGAAATCAAGTGGCTAAGCACTAGCAGAGCCATCTATGTGTAGAGACATTTCACAAAAATATAAAAATCAGCACAGCATTTTCCCCATTTTTTATTCATTTTCCCCAGCGGCATTGAGTTAACTTGATGAATTAAAGCTTGTACAAAAAATGTTTTTAGTTTAAAGGTGAAAATCTTAATCATAATGTTAAGTAGTACTATGATGTTATTGCTTCTAACATTACATGTAGCAAAGACTCCCTACACGTACCAGAATAGGAAAGGTCTCGTTGTCACCACCGACATTTTCATTCTCATGGTTTAACAACTTTTCAGCAAATCCTGAAGTGTTTTCAAGCGGAATGCCGTTCAACTTACGAATGGCATCCGCGAAAAGTTCCCCGAAGTTGAGGTGGAACTTAATGCTACAAAACCCCGCAGCAAAAGCTTTGAGGTGAGGATTAATTCTTAGAGACATTTTGTCCACAGACCAGCATTTTTATAAAATTTATAGTAGGTCAATGTCTTCATTAATTGAATTCCTTGTAATGCTAGACTTCTCTTATCACAAAGTTCAGTGTTGCTATTTCTAATTATCTCGGGCAAAGACTAATGATATGATATTAAAGGGTTGAATTTCTATGAGAAATCTATGTTGTCTGCAATTAAAAAATATAAGTTCTTTCAAAAAACTCCAAATCCATTTAGACATTCTTCTAAAAAATAATGTATTAATATCAGTTGCATTGGATTTTGAAATTATTCTTTCAATAAATATATAATACAACAATATTTTATGAAAGTAGCTACATTCATGTCAGTACTCCCAATTAAGAGTACAAAAATCTTGCGTGATTCTTCATTTGAAATATTTTTCTCACAACAGATCACAGTCACTTTTGATGATGGGGAATCAGCACTGGTGTGGTCTGGAATCAAGAAGGGGCCCCCAAGAAAGGAAAAGTTTCCTGAGTTAAAGGTTGTCTTGGAAGAGCTTGAGAACCAAATGTAATTGGGACAGACTGTCATGTAGGAGTGTAGTTTATATTGCTGTCCCTGTTAAGAGATACTTGGAACTAAAGGATTAATGTGATTCACCTCAGAAAAAAACAATCTGACGTTAGTGTTTCTAAATAGGAAAATTAGTCAAGTTTTACCAAGTAGACATTATTGTTGTTCTCTTTTAATAAGTTTATTCAGATTTTTTTCTTTAGGCTAATGAAAGTAAAACAAAAACTAACTGATTAACAGGGACGTCCTGAAAGCGTGGGAATGACCTGGGTGGTGTTGATGTAAGAATCATTCTCCTTGATTGTTTTCTATGAAGGTCCGAAAGCAGAAAGCCACTTGGTTGCTTAAGACTGGAAGCCCATGAACAAACAGAGAGAGTGCAGAGCTTTTCATTGGCCTTTCCAGGACTCCCACTTTTCTTGTTATAAACTCGCTCTTTGTCCCTACCTCTTTTTTTTTTTTATGACATGTACAAAGTTCCCTGGAGCAGGCAGAGGCTTTAGGTTGTAGGTTGTTGCCCAATTTGTTCACTGCCAAGCGGAGAATTGAAAAATAGCTTTCAAAGCATTATGATTTTTTTTTTCTTTTTTTTTTCTGGGGAGGGGGGTGACATAGGTATAATGTTTTCTAATTTTTATTGTTACTAATAAACAATATTACTGTTATTTTCTTCTCTATACCCTGCCTACTCCAGTGTGCACTGCAAATAAGCCCAGCTCCCCATTTTTGGAGGAATTAGAATTTCACATTTTTCCCCTTCATTAAGAAAAACAAAAAAAAAAAGAAAGAAAAAAAAATGATCTCGTGATTTGTATCATTTGTGTCTAAGGTCATAGAAATGTTTTCTATGCTGATATGTAGCTCTTAATTTTATTATCTTTAAAAATGTAATTTCATATCTTAATTTTCCAATTCATCTCGCACCTTTTAATGGAGATCCACAATAGTGGTGCTAATTTTCTTTTATCAGAAGTTGATTGTGTAGCTAGAACACATTTTTATGGCTTTTGCTCAAATTTAGTATTATTTTATTATCTCTGTCTACCTGCTTCTGTATTTTTAGAGAAAATAAACTTAGAGATAAAGAATTCTTATTTATTTTAGATTCCTTTAAACATATAATACATTTTTACGACAGGTTCATGTGTTCAGTCGAGACAAGATAAAATGTACTTTGGTTACTTTATTTAAGATTTCATGTGACGTTTCCTTCATTCATAATTGGGAAAGTAACAGGTAATCTACATTTTTTAGAAAGATGAATTACTTGCACTGAAATATGAAACTATTTTTTTCTGCAACAAACGAAAGTATAAAGTTGAGAGAAAATTTTAAGAAATGAAAATATTGTAAATGAGAATTGATAGTGTATGTGTATATATATATATGTATATGTATATGTATATATATATATACATATATATATATATATATATATATATATATATATATATGTATATATATATATATATATATATATATATATATATATACATATATATATATATATATATATATATATATATATATATATATATATATATATATATATATATACATATATATATATATATATACATATATATATATATATATACATATATATATATATATATATATATACATATATATATATATATATACATATATATACATTTATATACATTTATATACATTTATATACATATATATACATATATATACATATATATACATATATATACATATGTTCTTCACTGAATTCCCCTATTTTAGCAATAAGCTGATCATCTTTTTGAAATTCAAGAACAGTTGATAGAATATTTTAAATATCAATCAAACTTTAATCAACTCAATCTTCCATGAGAAAAGGTACAAGAATAGGAGGTTGGGAATGAAAAATTGCATTCAATATGATGG